GTGTTCAACAACATCTCCTGAGTACAGTGATACCACCCATGTATAGGTGTGTCAGATTCTCTGTGGCCCGGCAGTGAGGGGGGGTATTGCAGGATGCCAGAACATCGAGGCATCGCTGCAATACCATCAGAGCAGCTGGAAGCACTCTAATTCGCCACGGACATATCAAGTACATCCACGGTCCCTAAGGACTGTTTTTATCGGACGTACCTGATACGTCCGCGGTCGTGAAGGGGTTAACAAAAATTGGATTGTGTATAAAAGACTTTACCATGGCAGTATATGCTTTTTTTTTTTTTTAAATTCTTTATTTTATTTGTGCATAGCTTGAACAATCATGCTTGTACCGCCACAATAGCAGGTGCAAGCAGGTTTGAAAACATACATTAACATAGGTATGGCATTGAAATACATAGCACAGTTTTTTGTTTTTTTTTATATTCAAGATAGGAGACATGTTAAAGGTTAAACCATGGATAACACACACGCTTTTGCAGGCTAGTCTCGCTTAGCAGTTAGGTAACTTATATTGAATCTGCGCTTCGCTGCCTGATAGCAGGCTTGAGAGATGGAACAAAGGCAAAAACTTAAAGCATAGTTATACAATACTGTGACGTAGGATTAAACTGCGCACATTTTTAAATTGTTAGAGTAATGATGAGTAAGTCTGGTTAGTAAATGCGAGTAACAATAGCAAGATGTGTGTTTACGAGAAATAAATTGACATGACTGTCATAAATTATTAACCTGCTGAATTTCTAAACATTATGATAAGCAAAATGAACTTTCTTTCAAAAGACACGAGTAGAAGAGGTGCAATGAAACGTTATGCCTAGCTAGAAACATAGCTATCGTGATCATGCTTAATAAACAGTTGTAGGTTAGAAAGGTACGTACGCTAAACTAACTTATGTATCAGAATAGTGAGGCTATACATAGAAAAGCTTAGCTTATAGTCACTATCGATATCCCCTCTGCGGTCCCCAGCATAAACTAAAGGGCTATTGAATTGCATGCATACAGGTATAAGAGTTCAACCTCGGGTGTTAAGAGGTGAGGAGTATTGGGCACTGTGCCTGACATTGAGTCCCAGTCTTGTATGGGTCAGCCGATGCCTTGTTGGGGCTGGGTGTGCTCCCCCTGCGCCGGTAGTTGCAGCGATGATGCGTGCCGCATTCCCTGTGGTCCAGCAGTGTAGGAGAAGAGAGTCTCAGTGAGGGCAGAGGACCTAGTCGGTATGTATAATGTGGCTCCAGTTGTGGTTCCCACATGCCGGTGTATTCGTTGGCTGTAGCTGTGGCTGTAGATTTGTGCTGCTGTTGCCGCCATTTTAGGCCTCTTGGTCTGCCACTTGCATGTGTGGATGAGTTGGCCATTGCTCCTCTTAGGCTGGGTCATTGTCGGGGAGCAAGGCGGTGTTCTGCGCTGTGCTTTGGGGGTCCCCTTAAGATGCTTTGCCTGTGCCTGGTCGCGTTCACTCTTGGTGTGACTCTGTTCACCCGACATCGGGTTGGTCGTTTTCAGGCGCCTGTGGGGCCCAGCAAGGGAACTTACGGCATGTGCCGGGACATTCTCTTGGGCCTCTCGTAGTGGGCCGTGTGGCGTAGCTCCAGGCTGGGTCCCCGGTTCCGGGGGCCACTCAAGCTGTTCCAGCCTCTCCCAGAAGGCGTCAAAAATGCAGGTGAGTCTGAGCTCCGTTTCTCTCTCGGCCTTGCAGAGGGTTGAGGCGTGCGTGTCGTCCTCCATTTTGTCAGCCACACCAGCGACCTCCAGTCCGCCCGATCTGTTCAACCGCTTATCACCTGCTGAGGTGACCGTGAGGGGGTGGACCGGGATAACCCCCACCGGTCCAGGGGGGGGAGAACAAGGGCCCGGAGTCCTACATCTGCCTGGTTCAGGCAGCAGGGAAGCGGCCGTCCTCCCTGTGCCCGCCATGCTGGTAGGCCTCGCTGTGAGTTTGGGTACGCCTGTATAACATCGTCGCTTGAGTGGTGTCTGTGTGTGCGCCCCGGTATCACCCGTCATTTGGTGGCCATTAAACTGCAATTTAGTGCCTTTCAAGCGTCTAGAATCCATTGTTTTAGCCCCAAGCAGCGGGAGCTGGTGAGGCATGCTTCCTCTCTGCTCAGCGGTCAGGCCCCGCCCCCAGTATATGCTTTTAAGTTCTGTCACGGGTGACTTCAGCATTCCATCACGTGACCCAGGAGTCTAGTTGAAAAAGAGCAGTTTATACAATAGATAGTTTCCAGCAAATAGCAAGACAGGTTTCCAAAACCTCGTAAGGCAGACACAAGCAGGGAAACAGAGGATCAAGATGGCAGCAATTGGAGATTATTGTAGCTGCGGAGCTTGGTACTCAGGTGCTCTAAGTGGGTAAAAATCCAATTGGTCCCACCAATACATTTTGTAATCCTTTTTAATTTGTTGTTTGTGCAGAGTATGTAATAGCAAGGTCTTTTTGCTATATATCTTTTTTGTGTTCCTATTCTCCTATATAACATGGAACAATCTTTGAGTATTTGAGAATAATATATAAATAAGTAAATTAACTTGTTAATTAAGTTGCTATGTTAATAAAATGAAAAATCAGTATACAAGGTGACTGGTTCTGAACCTAAAGTGAATGCTTTTTTATTGTGCTTTACACTTCTAATTTCTCATATTGTTTGAAGTGAACACATTTTGTATTAAAGGGACACTCCAGACACCCAGACCACTTCTGCCCATTAAAGTGGTCTGGGTGCCAACTCCCACCCCCTTAACCCTGCAAGTGTAATTATTGTAGTTTTTATAAACTGCAATAATGGCCTTGCAGGGTTAAGTACTCCTATAGTGGCTGTCTATCAGACAGCCACTAGAGGGCCTTCTGTGTTCTTAGAACACGAAAAGTGTTTTAAACTACACTGGACATCCTCACACTATGTGAGGACATCCAGCATCGCCAAAATCCCCATAGGAAAGCATTGAATAATGCATCCATATGGGGAGATCTAATGCACGCCATTGCCGTGCATGAGCATTAGGTCTCCCCCTGCTGGCTGGCGTTGGCGGGGGAGGAGAGTAGGCGGAGCCTAACCCAGCACCGAGGGACATCGGCGCTGGACTCAGGTAAGTCACTGAAGGAGTTTTAACCCCTTCAGCAACATTGGTTGGGAGGGAGAGGGGCACTGTAGAGTCCTGCAGTGCCAGGAAAATGGGTTTGTTTTCCTGGCACTGGAGAGTCCCTTTAATCACTTTCTTTGAGATTATATACATTTCAATAAATGCTGAGTTTGCCATTTCAGACATAACCACAGCTGGTATCATTCATGTAGTTCTGTAAAGGCATTGCATACTGTTTATATTTGTAGGTCTACCAGGATGAGATGAACGCTTCTGTGCTTTTTTTTGCATTAAAGACAAAATGTAACCCATGCCTTCAATTTAAATTATATGCAAGCATTCTATAAATGTATACTCCCAATCCAATGACCTATAATTCTATATTGTAAAACAATGTTGACGTCTAATAACTCTCAGTTTACATTAAGAGTTAAGAAAAAATCAAGAAAATATTTGTACCCTCTTTAAAATCTAGGTCAGTGAAAGGCAAAAGGATAAACTGTAAGTTCTGAACACAGAGTTGAGTGAATTCCTGAAGTTTATTTCATTTGTCAGGACAATTTGCATTTTGAAGAATAATTTTGAACAGAAAGCTTTTAGTAATGCAAAAGAAAGTTTGGTTTACAAATTTTTATTTTTTTTATTATCTAAAGTTGAATACATAGAGTCTTGGAAAGTGTGAGGCAGTTAAAACAATAGCTTGAAAAACATTTAATTATTTTTTTAAACAAGAAAACAAAACAACTTGTATAAAATAGGTTGAACAGTGGGCATTGCATAAGACTGAAGAGGTGTCATAAGCATATGCTCATATATATATATAAAACTCAAACAAAACAATTCTGCACATATTTCTGTTTCCCAGAAATCAAGGAATCAAGGCAGCAGATACTCACTATGAAAAGATTTGGTTTTGACTGCAGTATGCCAATTGATTGAGGCAAGATTAAAAAAAAAAAAAAAAAAATTGGTCCTCCCATCATCCTCCCAGTTGGTCCTCCCAGTTTAATGCCCATGAACAAATATCATAGATGCACAGTGTGGGTTTTAACAATTGTAGAGTACCACTCCAGTCATACAAGGGAGACCTTTCTATAGAGGTTCCACATCCTTTACATAGACAATAGACTTTCTCCAACACAGCTAACCTCAAATAGAGTTTCTCTAATTGTCAATTTAGCTTTAAAAGTATGAAAACCAGCAGGAATTGTGGTAAAATGGCTGACATTATCCCACAAAAAAGAGTGTGTCTATCGTATAACATTTTCCCTCTGACCAATTTTATATTTCACATCTTCAATGGAGAAACTACTTGAAAAAGGTTGAGGTTAAAGACATACAATGCACTAATGAACAGCTTGGGGATGTTGCTTTTAACATGACATTCCTAGAGTTCAGTAGGTGATTTATTTCAAGTTAGCATGTACAATTTAGAAAATAATAACTTTATTATAAAGACTTCTTTAAATATAATGTTTAAATTAGTCTTATTCTGTTACATAAAAAGTATTGCATGTGTTAGCAAATCTCCTGTTTTAACAACAAATCAAAAATTGAATTTTATGTAATTGATAAATGAGTCAACAAAGCAATTTTTTTAAAATATTTATTTAATATATGTTTGTGTAAAAAAAAATAATAATTATATCAAACATTTTAATGAGTAGATTATCAAATGTTTATTAAAAAATCTCATAAATCACAATTCAATGTTAGGGGTTATAATTATTTGAATTTATTTCGAACTCTACTTTGAGGAAACTTATATTAAAGAACATATTTGTAGTTTCCATGTTTCGTTTGTGTTTATGTCTAGTTTGAAGAGAGAAAATTAAATTACAATATTGAAGCCCAATTGTCTATATGTATATATATATACATATATATATATAATATATGGAAATAAGGTGCACTCACAGGTCTTCAAATGTGCTTCTTTTTATTTTGCATGAAAATTTACATGTGCAAAAAAATCTACAAAATCTACAAATGATTTGTTTGTAGATTTTTTTGCACATGTAAATTTGCATGTAAAATAAAAAGAAGCACATTTGAAGACCTGTGAGTGCACCTTATTTCCATATTTTTTGTATGCACAACGCCAAGGTTTGCACCCAGGCAATATTAATCTGATATTCATAGTAAAGGGTGAGTGCCAAGTTCTACTTCTTTATATATATATATATATATATAGTCCAAAATATTGTTGTATCCTTGCACACACACTCTCCAATAATATTGTGCCTGGTGCTATTAAGCCAATGCCAAAAAATATACAAAAATATAAGGTACAAAAGGCAAGCACTCACGGTCTTTTCTGGTCTCTTTAAAAGGTTGTTCTTTATTTCATAGGTTAAAACTTGATGTGATCGACGTTTCAGCCAAACTTCATGGCTTTCATCAGGATCTTAACAGCTTTTGAGCTGTTAAGATCCTGATGAAAGCCATGAAGTTTGGCTGAAACGTCGATCACATCAACTATAAATAAAGAACAAAAGACCAGAAACGATTACCTATATTTTGTATATATATATATATATATATATATATATATATATATATATGGGTCTATAGTTCTCTGGTGTCCATTCATTAAATATTAGAGTTTAACATTTTAGTAACACCTCCTAAATACCCAACCCCAGTCATCAAAAATGCTCCTCAATGACTTTTTCCCGATTTTAATAGATTCATAAATCATAAAATCATATGGTAAATGCTGCATTAATTGAATTACTCTTGGAGCCAGCAGAGTCCAATGCACTGTGTGAAACACAATTCTCTTAAGTTAATTAGACAACAAGCTTTCATTTGCCAACACTCAAAATCTTATTAGTTAAGTCTGGCATTGTTGTCCTTTACTATATAATGATTTAATCTCTCTCTGCACACTTTTTTCTGTCTTAAATTCTCCTGACAAGATGCAACTCAGTATGTCCTTCTTAAAATCTCATGATTCCACCTAAATAGGGGAAAACCCATACCTCACTGAAATTACCTCCATTTAAAACATCATTATAAGGTAATACATTTGATTTTTTACCTCCCCTCAGTTACTACTCCTCTCATTGATGTAAGACAGCCACAATTGGTGAACCCTCCACGAGAGGAGGGACATAACTCCCCTTTATATGTTGGGCACAATCTTAATGCTTGTTAGCTCTTGAAAAAGGCAAGTGGTTATGCCGAAACGTGCGTTGAGCCCTCGTGACGATGCACCTTTTTTAATTTTATTTTCACGTCTGGGAATGGACAAGGCTGATAGCGGCCACTTACTTGGTTTCACATATTTAAGATTGGGCAGGAATCAGCTAGAGTTGAGAGGGGGGTTGCCTTGAAGCAGCAGGCTGTGAGAAGTATTCAGGGAGATGGGCTGGAAGTCGTGTTCACCCTTATATCTATGTAAATACAATTGAATGCTTTTCCCATCTGTGTATATCTACTCTTCCACAATATTAATTCAAGTGCAGTTTGTGATTATTCCTTAGATTCCGTACTGATATATTGGAGGTGCTTTAATAGCACAACATCTAATTATAATCTGATATTATGGTAGTTTATGGCTCTCGTTATAGGACCTAATTTTTAACCACTCCTAATAGGTCTACATACTTAATGCCATATTTAATAATTTAAATTTCATGTTCTAATCTCTGACACTTGCATCTTCTTTGTCTAAATAGGGACATTTAAATTGTTTGTTACATTGTATATATACCTAAGATTTAAACACTACATACCAACTACCTTTACTTCTAGTGGTTTATTTGAAACATAATTTAAATTTTGAATATGTTCAATGTCCTTACAGATAACTTCTATTTTTCTATTCCTTTTAACTGTATAACCAACACTTTTAGGTTATTTCACTTTAGGTTGCACATTTTTTTTCTTGAGTGTTTATTTTGTCATGTGTTTGTGTTGGCTTCATTAATAAAATGTATTACCTTATAATTATGTTTTAATTGGAGGTAATTTCAGTGGGGTGTGGGTTTCCCACTACTTTAGGTGTAATCCTAACCTCATTAGTTCTCTTTTCTCTAGTTTGTATACATTGGGTTATGCCCATATTATCTCTGTAACCTACTTCTAGTAACAGTGTAATTATTATATCTTACATCTGGGGCTTTCTCTTCTTGAGATCTTACGTTGCATACAAAAATGGCAGTACGCACAAGAGCACATTGTGAATTCAAAAACATATTTCTATATATAGCTAATTATGCATTAACCATGAACAAAAATGTAACCCAATCACATCACAGGGCTAGAATTCCCAGTTCAAACTATACGCTGTAGAATTGTAACTATAATGAAATACATTTATACTGATTTTAAACTATAGGGATGTATTCCACTGCGAGCACATTAAAAATAAACATATTTTTCTGGAAGACTATTAGCTTGGGAAAAAGCCTGTTTAAACAGAATTACTTTTAATGAATAATTATTTTGGAGCTGAATCCATTTCTTTTTTGCATTTGTTTTTCCAATTCATTTTTTTTGCTCATGAAAATGGTATTTCAACTCAACAAGGTCATTATAGTTAGCAGCTTAGAATTATCTTTCCTGACATAAATTATTCCAGTTCCTCCTTAAAAAAATGGTGTTCATTCTTGATCATAATAAGTAAAGACAATGCAAATTGTCTTCCATGAAAACTGTAACTGAAATAACTAAAATAAATTTCATTTTTAAAAATATCAGTTTTGTTAGTATGATTTAAAATTGAGGTATACAGGGAGTGCAGAATTATTAGGCAAGTTGTATTTTTGAGGATTAATTTTATTATTGAACAACAACCATGTTCTCAATGAACCCAAAAAACTCATTAATATCAAAGCTGAATATTTTTGGAAGTAGTTTTTAGTTTGTTTTTAGTTTTAGCTATGTTAGGGGGGATATCTGTGTGTGCAGGTGACTATTACTGTGCATAATTATTAGGCAACTTAACAAAAAACAAATATATACCCATTTCAATTATTTATTATTACCAGTGAAACCAATATAACATCTCAACATTCACAAATATACATTTCTGACATTCAAAAACAAAACAAAAACAAATCAGTGACCAATATAGCCACCTTTCTTTGCAAGGACACTCAAAAGCCTGCCATCCATGGATTCTGTCAGTGTTTTGATCTGTTCACCATCAACATTGCGTGCAGCAGCAACCACAGCCTCCCAGACACTGTTCAGAGAGGTGTACTGTTTTCCCTCCTTGTAAATCTCACATTTGATGATGGACCACAGGTTCTCAATGGGGTTCAGATCAGGTGAACAAGGAGGCCATGTCATTAGATTTTCTTCTTTTATACCCTTTCTTGCCAGCCACGCTGTGGAGTACTTGGACGCGTGTGATGGAGCATTGTCCTGCATGAAAATCATGTTTTTCTTGAAGGATGCAGACTTCTTCCTGTACCACTGCTTGAAGAAGGTGTCTTCCAGGAACTGGCAGTAGGACTGGGAGTTGAGCTTGACTCCATCCTCAACCCGAAAAGGCCCACAAGCTCATCTTTGATGATACCAGCCCAAACCAGTACTCCACCTCCACCTTGCTGGCGTCTGAGTCGGACTGGAGCTCTCTGCCCTTTACCAATCCAGCCACGGGCCCATCCATCTGGCCCATCAAGACTCACTCTCATTTCATCAGTCCATAAAACCTTAGAAAAATCAGTCTTGAGATATTTCTTGGCCCAGTCTTGACGTTTCAGCTTGTGTGTCTTGTTCAGTGGTGGTCGTCTTTCAGCCTTTCTTACCTTGGCCATGTCTCTGAGTATTGCACACCTTGTGCTTTTGGGCACTCCAGTGATGTTGCAGCTCTGAAATATGGCCAAACTGGTGGCAAGTGGCATCGTGGCAGCTGCACGCTTGACTTTTCTCAGTTCATGGGCAGTTATTTTGCGCCTTGGTTTTTCCACACGCTTCTTGCGACCCTGTTGACTATTTTGAATGAAACGCTTGATTGTTCGATGATCACGCTTCAGAAGCTTTGCAATTTTAAGAGTGCTGCATCCCTCTGCAAGATATCTCACTATTTTTGACTTTTCTGAGCCTGTCAAGTCCTTCTTTTGACCCATTTTGCCAAAGGAAAGGAAGTTGCCTAATAATTATGCACACCTGATATAGGGTGTTGATGTCATTAGACCACACCCCTTCTCATTACAGAGATGCACATCACCTAATATGCTTAATTGGTAGTAGGCTTTCGAGCCTATACAGCTTGGAGTAAGACAACATGCATAAAGAGGATGATGTGGTCAAAATACTCATTTGCCTAATAATTCTGCACTCCCTGTATACTTTTACACAAAAACAAATCTTTAATATGGCCATATTCCTAAAATGAATAAAATGGGGATAGATAGATAGTTCATGTGTATACCTATATCAAATGCATGTTTTGCTGGGACATTACATTACAAAGGGGTAATAAATATGAATTTAGGTTACATATTGCTGAAATTTGAAGTATGCCTATTTAAAAAGTGTATGTGTTTGTTTGGCATGCCAGTGCTTTGCTTCATTTTATTCCTTTTGCAATAGTATCAAGGCATAAAGTGAATATGACTGCTAAGTGAATCACCTGCATTTTTTTATTTGTGTATTTATATGTTTAATCTTATTCAGCTTATGTTCCAAAACACACACACATATATATATATACACACACACACACACACACACACACGAGGCCTGGCAGGAAAGTATCCAGCAATGCAATAAGAAATAGGAGAAATAGAGACATTTATTGAAGTAGATACAGCATACAATAAACATTGTACATAGGACAACTACGCATCAGTCCCCTTCAAAGTAAGCACCTTGGGACCTCCCAGTATTCCCAGCGTCTCTTCCACTGTTCAAAATACTCTACAAAATCCTTTGTCGGAATCGCCATCAGCTGCCTCGTCATATTTACCTGAATCTCATTGATGGTCTGCAATCTCCTTTTAAAGGTGATTTTAGTTTTTGGAAAATGCCAGAGGTTGCAGGACATCAAATCTTTGAACAGATTCTTTACCATCTTTGAAGCATTTGTGCCACACTTTTAATTGTGCTGCACTCATTGTATTT